GAGGGGAGGGGGAGAAAGAGAAGGAGGGGAGGAGGAGGAGGGGGAGGAGGAAGAAGACGGGGAAAGAAAAAGGAGAGAAGTGAGAGGAGATGACCAACATGAACCCATGCCTGAGCTTTCTAGGGCTGCAAATGTCCCAAAATCAGTGACTGGCTCATTGCGCTAATGTGTCCCGGATGCACAATAATGGCGGGCCTCCACATGTGCTGTTTTCTTTCTTTCTTATCACCACTCTGCGTCACGCGCCATTCCTTCTGTTCCTGCCTGGGTACCTCAGTTGAAACAGTTTTACTCTACTAGACCAAGGTCTTCCTCTTCCAGAGGCACGGCTAGAGGTATGCTTTCTGCCTCCGGCATGCGCCTCTTGTTACAGACCGAACTCGGGATTCAGGCGAACGGCCTTGGCTCCTTCAGATCCTGGACATGAAGTCGGGTCCGCCATATTTGTCTACTCTGTCGGAAACCCCCGAGGTCCCTGGGCAGAGGCCTGGCTCAATGTGGACCCTACTTTTGGTCAGAAGTCTGCTCGTTATGACTCAGAGACTTCAGTCTGGCCTCGGTCTCGGCCGCTTGCAGAATCCAGGCCGCTTCCTAAGAGCTACATGGCTCCTCTTCCAGGCAACTGCCCCCCCCAGGGTGTACAAACGCCAGGCCCGCGGCTAAACCGCCAAACTGAGGGGAGCCCCTTTGACTACGAGGGAGGAATAGTCTTCCTGGTCAACAGTCAGGGGCCTAACCTGGACTTCAGATGAATCCTTGGAAGTCACCCTGAGTGTACAAAATGCCAGACGCCACACGCCGCTACCGCCGGCCGCTCAGACGCTGCTCCCGCGCTTCGCAGCGGAAGTGAAACAGAAACCCGTGCTTCAGAGCGGAAGTGAATCAGAAACCCGCCCTTCTCACCGGAAGTGAATCAGAAATGGGGAACAATCACATCCGGTCAGGGCTGCCAGGTCACCAGACGTAACTAGGGGGGTCAAGTTCTTAAAGGAACATACTGTTTTGGAGTCAATACCATCTAAATCGTCAGCTTGGGCTGGGGATTTAGCTCAGCTGCACAGCGCCTGCCAGGCAAGTGCAAGGTTGTGAATTCGAATCCCGTTACCAGAAAAAAAAATGTGGACATATATAACACATTTAGGGGCCAGGGGTATAGCTCAGTGGCTTAAGTGCTTGTCTGGCAAGCCTGAGGTCATGAGTTCGAGTCCCGGTACAAAAACAAACAAAAAGAAAAAAAAGGTATTAGCTCTAAATCGTCACCTTGAGATCAAACAAACCTGGAATTCCTCCTCTTACACTCCTGAGTCACAGTACCTCCAAACAAAGCCCACACCTCACTCCCTCCCTGCAGAGGAAGTCAACTCATGCCCCAGCAACTCGGGTCCCACAACAAGGACTGAGTTCTATTAGTCTTCCTATTTTGGGAACAGGCCCTCCTATCAGCACTCAATATTCTCACATTGACTCTGGATTGCCCAAGACCACTATTTTATTAAACTACAGCCCCACCCATTTATTCCTGGTACTTCAAAGTGGGGCATCAGTTTTCTGAGGACCTCTCTGATGGTGAGGATCCCCTTACAGTGCTTAGAGTTCTAAGGGCCAGGGATATAGCTTAGTGCTATAAGTGCCTGCCTGGCAAGCATGAGGTACTGAGTTCAATTCCCAGTAACAACAACAAAAAATATTGCCTAAGAGTTCTCCTATTTACTGATATTAGATTCTAGGTATCTTCCCTCTGCAAAACTGATGCTACTCTCATTAAGCTTTGCCTCACTTCCCTGAGACTTCTCTAGGCTGAAGCCTGCCCAACATCTCTGCCTGGCTCTTTCTGGGGCTTATAGCAGGTTTGTGGAGTCTCTTTGTGGGGGTCTTTTAAGAGTAGGTGCTCATGTGGAGGTGTGACCACTCATGTAACTGCACTTCCTTTACATGTGAACTTATTCCTCTCACATAGCAATCTTGCCTCTCTTATAATTTCTAGTTGAAATTCAGAGGGATCCTCATGTTACCAGGGTCCTCTTTTCAGGACCTGACATGATGCTGTAGGATACCACAATTCTGGCTGAGTCCTTCTACCTTTGCCCAGTTGCTGTCTTTACATTTACATCTATCAGAGCCTGGTACCTTTCCTGCTATTGAAATCACCATCCCTAAGTCTCTGGATGACTCTTGTACGTTGGTGTGGTTGTCTTCCTTGTCGTTTATAGGAGTCCTCATCTGGATATCAGTCTCTCTCTCTCTCTCTCTCTCTCTCTCTCTTTTTGGCTTTTTGAGACAGGGTTTCACTACACAGTTCAGGCTGTCCTTGAACTCACTTTGTAGCTCAGGCTGGCCTGAAACTCACAGCAATCCTCCTGCCTCAGCCTCCCAAGTGCTGGGATTACAGGCATGCCTGGGTGGATTTCAGTGTCTTGACTGAAGGCTTCCAGAGAAATCCTAAAACCCTGCAAAACCTTGACCAGTTTCCTGGTCACAAACTTTGAAAGAAGTCCCTGTCACAGGAGTACAATTATGTTGAGAAACTGCAACACAAGATATGGAACCCAGAGACTAAATGTATAAATCTATCTTTTCTTTTCTAATGAATTCCTAAGGGAAGAGTCAAAGGAAACTTAAAAATATTCTTACAATGTATAAGAAATATTTAAGGCCAGGCATCTGTTTAGAAATAAAATAACTACAATTAATAATTAGAAAACAACTAAGGAAAGGACATAGTACTGTCTTTTCAAGATGTATTTAATTTCCACCTATCCAGTAGTCTGTCATATTTTCAGACCTGTTGGGCAGGCTTCTTTTATGTGTCCCTTTTTCACTCAAATAATATTTTAAAAACAAATGAAATATTATGAATTTCAAAGATAACCTAATTAAATCAACAGAAGATATGATATATGCATTGTGGAATGTTATTCAGCCATGAAGAAGTTCCAGTCCTTTTTGAAAACACAGATGAAACTAGAGGACGTTATGTTAAGTAAATGAAACCAGGCACAGAAAAAGGCAAATACTTTATACTGTGTTTCACGTGAAGAAAGTTAAAAATATATCAACCTGAAGATAGCATTTTGAACAGTAGAGGTTGGGAAGTTTGGGGACAGGGTGAATAAAGGGAGGCTGTATTTTGATAAGTGCATGATGTATGCACTTGTTGAAATGTCAGTCTGAACCTCATTCATCTATGTGATTAATACATGCTAATCAAAAATAAAGTAAAATCAAATAGTTCTTAAAAATATTCCACAACTCACTCTTGATCATAATGCTAACAACTAATAATGCTAATAATAATCTATGATTGAGCAAGCACCTCAGTTATTCTAGGAAACAAGAATGCAGCATGGTATATGGAGAAGCAGACAGCAATAGATAGAGGGTTTCATTTTGTGTGACTTAGTTTTTTCTATGCAGGTGGCAGTGGGATTGAGAGAGCACTAAATGGAGAGTCCATAGAAGAACCATTCCTTAATGGCACACAAAGAGTGCAAGTCAGACAGGATGATGACTGCCTCAGGAAATACCAAGAAAGCCAAAGGTGGCATTTTTAATTGTGACAAAGATAACAAATAACTTGAATTTCTTCAAAGACATAATGGCTGCCCAATAATAGTATTCTTATTTTATAATATCATGTAATCATTAAAGCAATTTTGTAAGGCAGCATTTTTCACACATCTTGGTCTTAAGACTCTTCCGTATTTCTCTCCTTTTTTTTTGAGACAGGGTCTCAGTATGCAATGCAGGCTGGCCTTGAGCTCACTTTGTAGCCCAAGTCGGTCTCACGCTCACAGAACTTGCAAGTATCCTCCTGCCTCAGCGTCCCGAGTGCTGGGATTCTAGGTATGCTCCACCATGACTAGCTTTTTTTTTTCTTTTTCTTTTTTTTTTTTTTTTTTTGAGACAGGTTCTCAGTAAAAGTTTGAGGCCAGCCTGGGTAATTGAGGAGGTTCTTTTTTATTGAGCTCAGGACCTTGCAGGTGGCAGGCAGGCACTGTGCCACTGAGCTATATCCCAGGCCTCTAGTATTTCTAACAAACTTTATTGACCCCATTGACCCCAATGAGCTTTTGTTTAAAGGGATTGTATTGATTGGTATTCACCACATACGAACATCAAATGAAAAAATATAACATAATTACTTATCAATTAACTTTTAAGTATAAGAATACTAAACCCATGATATTGGAACACAAATAATACTTTATATATCAATATATTTTCAAAATGGAATACAATTAAGAAAAGAAAATGACACTGATGTTTTCCCAAGATCTTTAATGTTTACTAGAAGACAATTATATTTTTATACATGCTTTTGCATTTCATCTGTAACAACATGCTCTTTTGCTTGACACATATGAAGAAAATTTAGCCTCGCACAAATATCTCATTGGAAACGGAAAGAGTATTGTAGTTACTTTTTCAAGTAATTTTGGATACTGGTTTGGTTTTTGTTTTGTCTTTTTTAGACAGGGTTTCACTATACAGTTCAGGTTGGCCTTCATCTTACTTTCTAGCCCAGGCTGGCCTCTAACTCACAGCGATCCTCCTGCCTCAGCCTTCAGAGAGCTGAGATGAGAGGCTGGTACCACCACACCCACTTTGGATCCTATTTAATACAACAACAAAATTTAACAAGTAAGCATTTCCTAGCAGTAATTCATGTGAAATTTTAAACCATATCAATGAACATTTTGCAAGGTCCATAGATTATTTTCTCACATGCGCATTTATAGGAAAATACACTGCTTCGCTACTGTTAATATCATCACCTATGTCATGAGAAAAGGCTACACTTATTGATAACCTCTAAAACTTTTTGTAGTGAAAATGAATTCTCAAAAAGCGTAATCTTTACTTGAAATGTCAAATTTTGTTATTGGTAGTAAAAATTATCGCACAGTTTTCTAAAAATGCTGTTTATTTCATGTACTTTGTAAAGGAAATTCCAACAATGTAATCAACTGTGAATAACCATATTTATCTCTCCATTGTTGTTTCAGGTAAAAAATGGTCTTCCAACTGGTATAGTAGATAGTGCAGTTTGTAACTCTAAGAATTATACAGATGCTTTCACTGAAGATAACCGTGCTACTTTATATGTACTCTGCATACTTCCCTTTTTCTCACAAACATATTTAAAAGAAATATGTTGGAGGAAAGTGAGTTAAATAAATAATGTCTACTGCTTCCTACAGTACATTCTTAAGTGAAACTTATTATATATTAACTAAGAGTGGAAGGCATGAAAAAATAACTCCATTTTACATTTTGATATCATTTCCTTGATTTGTTTTACACAATCAAACAACATTAAGAAAATGAAAAAAATGGCTTTGACCTTGGCAGATCTCCTTCTGAAAGTTTCATGGGGAAATTTTCATGTGTATGAAGTACAACTGCTACATGTATTTGCAAATTATTCCTCCAAAATATGAGAAGATCATGCGTTTGGTCTCCTATTTATACTCCCACTGTTCCAAAGCTGACTTTGGAATTGTTAGTTTTTCTGTACTTCACATCTTCCCTGCTGCATTAGTTTGGGTCTGCAGGCACAAAGACAAGATTGAGTATGCAATGGATTTATTTAGCAAGAGAGTAAGAGATGAGGGGCGCCTTCAAACTAACTGTGTTTAGGTCTGATACCTATGGAAACGGGGGAAATGAGAGGGCTGGGTAGAAAGCGGCTTAGACTACAGGACATGTTGAAGGATGTTTCAGTCAGGTCAGTGTAGAGACCTCAAGCCAGAGTCTCACTGGGCAACTCACGGATCGCACCACAACAGAGCCGCGTTAGTGCCTCCACCATGCCTTGGGCAGGAAGATTTTA